TAGTCATAACTTAAGCAATACTTATTGCAGTAAACATTTACATTAGTAAATCTATTAATTCAAAAGTTGCAAACAAAAACTTGTAGGGCTCCTTACTTGGATTTGGCTGCAGTAATACTTCTGTTTGTTTCATTATTTTTTCTGTCCACAATTTAGTGCATTCTGCTTTGCTGAGAAGGTTCTCCAGGTGAGCATCCAGTTCAGTCTTCTCTGCTTGACCAAGCTTTTCTTCTGTGAACTATGATGCAGACAGACAGGTTGGAAATACTGTTAATCCACAGAAAGCATTTCCCAGGACAGATTTAAGACAATAACTATTCACTCATATTAGTTGCAGATCATCCTTTCAAAGATATAATCCTTATCCAGTCATCAATAAAAAAATGATAAATGTGAAAGTCGTTAAGTACACCACCACACCCTTATTATCAGAGGGAAAAAGGGGTGGGAGGGTGTTAATCAGATCAAGATGAGGAATATAATTTACAACTTCATGAAGAAATCCTCTGCTCTATTTGGTATGGAGAGTTCTCACTTGAAACACTTCGTCCAATTTTGCATAGTGCTCCTTGAAACAGGATCAAAAGGAAAGAGTCCGGAGGTAACAAAGGCAACTTCAGTCTTGTATATTTTCTAATTAAGTTTGTCCCTTCTCCCAGAGTAAAACCTCAAACCACAACAGATTCTCATTGCAGATACCTTTAATGTGCTTTAAAAATGGTGTCGTGTCCACAACAAATAGGACAAAAAGTAGCAAGTTCAAACTTCAGTATGAAGATTTAAGTGAGAATTATATGTTAGAGAAAGTTTTTAAAGACAAGGATTTAAAAGTAAAATAGACTTCCCAGGGAAGTTGCAGAATAAATATCCTTGGGTACAGGAGGTGTTTTCCTTTTTAGAATAGGACAAATCAATCTTTGATGAACTGTTTAGGTATAACTGATCCTGCATTCCAGATATTGTAAGATGATTTCTGCTGTTCTCTTCCAAGCTGTGTTTTCAGCGACAAAGAAATAGAATGTAACTCCATTTAGCTAAATAAATCCAATTTCACTTGACGTTAAATTTACACCAACTCTTATTAATCCACAATCAGTTTGTACTTCAACCACAGCTCTCTGGGAGAGGGGAGAGCCACACATTTCACATCAGGGAACCAAGCAAAACCGGAATTGAGGGTTTTGCCGGCCTCTCCTCAGAGCAGTGGTTCCTCATGACAACGATGATCTCATCACTTAACAGCCTGTTCAAAGTCAGGCATTTGCAGAAGGACCTGGCTCATGATTAAATTCCTAACAAGCTTACCAATTAAGAATATAACAGGACTGGAAACATTCTGACTGTCAAATTTCATTCCTAATAAGTTCTTCAGCGTGATAGTTTAACTCACAGTAAGAAGAATACAAGACAAGTAAATTGCATTGTCCAAGTTTGTTTTAATTTCCATCACACGTAGAATAAAAACAATTTTGACAGCAAGCACATCTAAAGTCTAGATAAATGCTGCAGCATTTGCAGTTCTACACAAAAGCAAGCTGCCTTTCTGAGAAAGTTCAGTTGCAGTATAGGGAAGACTGGAATTTATTTATGGATTTATTACTACGACTGTTTAAAAGGCTCTTTAAAGAGATGTTAGGTGTCATAATTTGTTCTTAGAAACCTTTTACAGATTTACTAGAATACAATATAAATGGTTTTGAAACTATTCTTTACTAATTACAGAGAAGTGTATTCATCTGTGAAATGAGCTTTCCTATTAGTAACTCCATAAGTCTACTCAGCAGTGCGAAGATAGCTTAGCCAATGTTAGATTTCATGTATACACTTATAGGAAAAACTTAATTTTAGCAATACTAAGCAGTGTGGCAAGTAGTAGTTTGACAGAAGTACGGTTTTCGGCATCAATGTAATGCAACAATACTGCCACTGATTTCCCACCTCAGTTACCCTGAAACCTAAAATTTGATTTGGTCTCTGTTTTGTGTCCTTTTTCAGATATTACTCCATCCCTTCCTAAGGATAAGAACAAAATAAGCAAAGTGTTGCTACAGATCAATAATTTTTCTTCTGCTTAGAAAAATTGTTCCAAGGTAGGCAGACACTAATGATCATCTTCTTCAATTAGAGCTCTAAACAGTTTTGTTTTGCTTTTTATTAAAGTTTAAAATATGTCATACAAAGATACTTAATGTAAGCACTACTGGAACAAATCATATCACTAAGTCATCTAATCCATCCACCTTTATTAAATTCAAAATATATACACAAGTTGCCTGAATGTGACCAGCTCATGCAGGATGAAATTGTACTGTTTTGTACACAACTGGGTTATCACAGCCCAATCGACATTTCAAGTCTACACTGCAAAATCACTAGGAAAAATTACATTAAGATAAGTCTCTAACTTCAGGCAGAAGTCATGAACAATAAAAGTGTTTCTGCTACCAAAGAGTAAAAGTCCAGCTCATTCCTGAGTGCTACACAGGCAGCTTGTCAATTACAGAGCCTGGCAAGAGGAAGGACTCACATTCCTATTACTACTACACTCCATGGCATTATTTCACCTCAAATACCACTACCTATTACCATTTGCTACTTTGTTGCAGGAGTTGCAATTTGTGAAGACTGACTGAGGAGGACTCCTTGGAAGCATTTTCTGCCTGCCAGAAGGAAGGGCAGGCTTTGGAGGAAGATGGCCAGTAGGCTTGATTTTTCCGTAGATCACTAACCAGAATATGTCAGTCTGAATACAGTATAATCTCATCCACAAAAGGAACAGGCTTCCTGGAACATGAATATCAGGCAGTTTTGGGAAAAACAGACCCAATTTCCTTATTACAGAGAAGTCTGATAACCCTGTGAAACACTAGCAAGATGTTCACCATCTTGTAAAACAGCTGAAGTAGAGCTAAAATGGAAAGTTTAAGTGGTTCTCCAACATACCATTACTATGCTGCTGAACTGTGTCATGGAGTTTGGTGGTTTGTTTTTTTTTCTAATGTCCCAAAGCAACTAGTGTCAGATCATACCATGTCATGCAGCAATGTCTGAACATGAAGTTTAGCTCAAAATACAGAACTGTCATTTTTACTGGAGGACACAAAATGTGTACCCAGAAGATATTAAAAAAAAAAGAAAATCCACAAAATCATTACCCCTTAATATTATCTGTAGGCCTTACATAGTAACTTTAAAAAACCCAACACAACAGGGGAGAAACAACAGTAGCACACAAAACATGAGTTACTCAGATTGTAAGAAAATGTTAGAGATTTGCTTCTTTCCCTCAACAGCTTCATTAATCTCATTTTAGGGGAAAGTAGCTGCTAGCAGAGCAAAATTCTTATTTCCACATTTCCACTGAGTTTTAGTTTAGATTAAGCAGATAACTAATGTAGCTATTCAGATGTAAACCAACAATACAGATAGAGCATACTGGAGTAAACCACCTTTAAACCATGACAGACTGCAAAAACCTACATTAGATTTAATGCAATAAGCTGATTTAAATGTAAAAAGTCAAGATAAAAGAGATGAAATCACAAGGTCCCATCCCAGGATCTTACAATGAAGGGTGAACTGTATGTCCCTTTTCCCTTGTCTAGTAAGAAAAGGGAAAGAGGTAGAGGCTGGAAAGGAAGAGATGGTCTCGAAAATATGTAGAGCTGGAAGAAGCTAGGGGTGGGAGATGGGGGGAGAAGGATGGGAAGACCTCCATCACAAAGAGAAGCCACGACAACAACGTTTTCTGACCAGTTTGCATTTTTAGCACTCTGCTGTGCTGCTGATCATTGGTTCTGCTTGAATATTGAGATTTAGGGCAATACATCAGACCGATCAGATCATGTAACAACTTTAATCACGCTCCAAACCTGACTGTGACCCAGCGAGAACTCATGAGAAACCAAAGTGGATTACTATGCACTGCTTGGATGTCCACCTCCCGACAGGAAATCTGTTTAGGTTTGATTATATAAAGAAAGGGGCTTACAGCTCAAGACAACAGCTAAAGAACAAAAGCCAATTACAGTGCCCTTAGCGTGAAGAAAGGGTAAGACCGATTCAGAAACAATAGACTATCAAACAAGCTTAAAAACGATACTAAAGCTCAAACAAAACAAACAAACAAAAAAAGCCTAAGCAGACGGATGCTTTAACGTGTTACATCAGAGCTCGAATTTTACCGATCCGGCAACAGGATACACTTTCAGCAAACAATAAAAACCACCAGCTTGTTTCAGGCGAGACACACCTTTGTCCTTTCCACTCATAAAATCCGACCGTTTCTCCTCGCAGCTAATGTCTGCTCAACCCGTGGCCCTCAGCCCAGGCGCCTTCTCCCCTCGTTCCCTGTCCTGACCTTGGGCCGCCTCAGCCTCTCCCCGCCAGCCCCCCCGAGGTCAGCAGTTTTGCAACCAGCCTGGACAAAATCCCCGAGTCCTACCAAACCCCGGGCTGGCAAGGGACCCGCGGGCGAAAGAGCCGCCTCAGAGCAGCACATCGCTGCCCCGCCAGGCCAGGTGTCTGGGCTTCCCCCTCGCCAGCGCGGCCGGGCCTGTTGCACCCTCAGAGCTGGGAACCCGCGGCGGGCCCAGCCGCCAGCCCGACCCCTCCCGGCCGCTGCTCCCCCGGCCTGGGGCGGAGCCGAGCTCCCCGGCCAACGCCCCGCGCCGGGCCCGCCGGCGGCCCCGTGGAGCCAGCCTGCGGCCTCGCCCACCTCCCTCAGCTGAGGCCGCGGCGGCCAAGCGCAGTCCTACCGGGCGAGCGGGGCGTACCTGCACGGCGCGGCTCAGGAAGGTGCCCGCGTCGGCCGCCAGCTTCTTCACATTGAAGTCCATGATGTTCATCTTCGGTGGGGGGAGAGGGAGGGGAGGAAACGCTGACTCAGCCCGGGCACCGGCGGCGGCGGCGGCCGCTCCGGCCCGTCCCTGTGGGGAGCCGCCGAGGGGGCGGTGCTAGGCCCGGCCCGGCGCCGCAACGGATTGGCCGCTGCCGCGGCGTCAGCGGCAGAGCCCGGATCGACCGGTGGAGCGGCGGCGGTGCCCGCCCCGGCCTCGGCCCCACCCCTCCTCGCGCCGCCGTGAGGGGGCAGCGGGTCCGCCGGGGTCGCGGCACGCGCCCCGCCTCAGGGAGCGCTGGCCGTTATCGGCGCGCTCCAGGGCTGACGGCTGCGGCGGCGCGTCCCGGCCTGCCTCTCCGGAGCCGATCGCGGCCTTTACCGTAAACACACAGCGGGGTGGGCAGAAAAGGCAGAGTCTCCTTGAGCGGGCGGCGGCGGCCCGCCCGGGGCGCGTTTATCCCCGACTCTACGCGCGGAAATCCCGCCGCCCCGCGGGCTCCGGCCCGGTCTGTCCCGCCGGGGCGGGCACCCTCCGACCCGGCTCTGAGAGGGCAAGGTCCCTCCGCCCCCAAAGTGTTTTGTAAGTCAAATGTTGTTTGTCTTCGTGAGCGTAGAAACGTAAGCTGGGAAAGGATTTTTGCGAAGTCGTTCAGAAAACGGCTGTTTATTAAAAGAGCCTGTGTAGATAAATGTATACCGAGACACAATTATAAAATAGCACCGTACATCACAAAGGGAGTATTTGAAAATACCTTGAGCATAGTAGCAGCATATATATATAACTTAATGCTAGCAACCAAGCAAATAAGACGAAAATAGTCTCTCATTGTAATAATTCCATTATTATTCCATCTGTTATCATGAGTTTCAAATGCTCGAGAAGAAAGGACCTTTAACATGGGCTAGCAATATTTATTATTTATGTTGTAAACATATTTATAATGAGGCATCATTGGCAACAAACTAGTATTCCCAGCTTAAAAAATTATCCTGGTCATTCATTTAAGTAATTTACCTCATAATCCAAATAGAAGGTAACGTTTGGCTAAATTTGATAAAGTCAGAGGAAATCCTAGGGCATTATGACGAGAAGTGAATTCCAGAGAAAGGAAGTAACTGTAACAATCAATGCAATCTTGCTTACATGCCAGTCAGATTCCAGGAATTAAAACCAAAACAAAACCCAGGCTGTGTATCATTCCTATTGTACCATTAGTGCTGATAAGGAGAGGGACTGAAAGCTATTGTGTGTATGTGCTTGTTTTGCTTGAATACTTTTTACCTTTTTCAACTTTTACTGTCTCACTTATACATGGGTGTAAGTGCTTATATGTAAGAACTCTATGGCAAGTTTTTTTCCATTTCTTAAAATGAGTTTTACTACCGTATAAAGGTCCCATGGGTCTCCCTTGTAATGCTCTGCACTACATGGTCATGTAAGAGCTGATTATGATTTCTTGTGATATCAGTTTAGGCTATGTGAAAAGACAGCAACATCAAAGAATTTAAATTTGGACATGCAGATGCAGTTATTTAATTTCATAGCTTTCATTGGTGCTAAGCATCAGCAGTTCCCATTGATGGAGTTCCACATAAAAACAGATGCCAAAAAACGGAGAGCAGCAGTGCCCAGCCTTGAGGGAGAAGCACCACCTCAGGTGAGATGTATCTCAATAGTGCCTTGGGAGAGTAGTGTGTCCAGACTGGAATTGAGAGCAACCAACACAGTCTAGCTCTTCCAAAATCAAAATACTGCCAGTTCTTCTCTGAAGCTTGCACCCTGGTGCTGCCCGTGACGCATGAGCCTCACTTGCTTCCTGTGGCATATTGACTGAAAGCCTTGACACTCCACTTTTCCCTTCAGAAAATGGTTAGATACCTCTCCTTTCTAGCATAACCTGGATGGAAGAGGAAGAAGGCCCCCGTCCTTTAAGTCCCTGTGGGTTAGAGTATTCTTGTAGGATTTGGAATATCTACTTCTGATTGCTTCTTTCCTAAGGAGCCCTAAGCACAACAGTACCAATTCTAAGGAAAATGCCTTAAGTAGACGGTACTTCCACCTTTAGCGGATGGGCTGTGGGGCTTTAGATGTGTTTTTTCAGTTCTCACTTTTAACATCCTTCCTCTTTTCATGAATGTTTAAGCAGTAAGAATGTGAGTGAGGGAGAGAAAATAACTCTTCAGGCTAATGGTTACAACACTTACGTAAGAGGAAAATCTGTTCTAGTGCATGTTTATACATTTCATATAAACCTCCTAATTTGGGTAATTTTTTCCCTGTTTTATCCTACAATGTAAGAATAAATTCAGTTATTGGATCCCAATGTGGAACTCCATGCTTCCTGAGTTCCACAGTATTCTACTACTTTTAAAACACTACTGAGTTACTCCCTTTCTTGAAATTCTCTTTCTCCACAGCCTGTAGGCCTGTAACATGGTGTCAGGACAAACCCTGGAAGTTTTTTTGGCATCCTAGAAGAAACAGGCATTCAGGTGTTAACAGCTGAATCTTGGAGATTCCTGTTGTCATTTTAAAAGATTGCCACATGCAGGCTGTCTGCCCTGTCCTTATTGGAAGCTTCAATCCTGGTCCTGGTGGGAAATGTGGTCCCTCTCTACAGCTGCTATTCAGAGCCAAAAAACATTGTCAGGGATTTAGGTTTGGGATAAACTAATGAATTTGGCTCCAGTAAGGAGAGCCATACCTAGCATGTGGGCTTAGTTACAAGCTAGATACTGACCGAGAGAGCTCTGAAGGTATACTCAAAGAACATACAGTGTGCAGAGATACACTAGCTTATTCTGATAAAATCAGTGCAAAGAGCTGAGGAGTCAGCATGCATGTTTACTTCTGTCACCTGTGCTGGAGCAGCAGTCTCTTCCTTCAGAAGTGTAGAGTAGACAGCAGCATTGGTAACTTGTAAAAGTACTGAAGTATAAGCCACAAGAGAATCTACAGAATCATCTCAGGCTGAAAAGGAAGTTAAAGCATGCCATGTCCTCCCATCTCTGATGTTTAAGAAGAAGGTGGGCAAGCAATGCATCAGCAAGTATAGTGAACATAGTACTTTGCCTACTGCCTGATCTTCAGGCACGTCCAAAAAGAAGAAATAACCTTTTACAGCACTGTACTGTCGGATATAAACAGACCCTGGAACATCCTCGCCTATGATTAGAAGTAGAATTTATATAGAGAACATCAATGCTGCTACTTGGAAATAATTTGAGTGAGGGCTTTGTGGATTTGTAATTAAGCTTTCCTGAAGTGGGATACAAATAAGACCAATAGTTAGAAATGCTGTAGTTGTAACCCTTAGTATTTCTCTAGATCATTACATTTGTCTACCTAAATCTTGATCATGTAGCTGTAAAGTATAACATTTGAATACAGTAAAATAGGCAAGAAGCTTGAGATCTGTAGGTTGAATAACTAGATGCTACACCACAATTGCTGTTACCAACTCTGTATTAACTTTGCTTCTGTGTCAGGCTGATCTGTGAATAAATTATTCTTAATTAATCTTAAGATTTTATTTCCTGTCATTAGACTTTTTTTGAAAAGCTTGATGAAAATCAAAAGCATTGAAATTGTATGGAATCGAGCATTTCTTAAGGTCTTCTTAAGAATATCTTAAGGTTTTCTTTGCAGAAAAATTGTGGGTTTAGCACAGTTTAGTATAGTTCAGAATGGCTTGATAGATAATGTGAATTTTTATTTTTTGCTTGTTGACCTTGCCATTAAGGTACACTTTAATTTTAAGGAATGTAAGGTTGTCCTAAAATATTTGAATTTCAAAGCAATCTTTTGAATACCACTTACCAATATCTAGTGTATCCACGCTTCCAATATTCTTTCCTTGATGCTAAATAGTCTTGGATCATATCCTTAAAGACTTACACTTACTAAAACCACCCGAACTAACCAACCAACTAAAATTATATTATTAAGATTTATAGTATAATTAAGAAAATAAAATATTTTTATAAGAATAATAACTTGTAACTTAATTGCTTCTAAGCTGACTCCCAGCACTACTACTGAAGATAGTACAGTAGTTCTGACTTTATGGAAAGGTAGTGTTTCAATCAAAGACCTTAGAATCGGAAGATTTAACAAAGACAACACAAAAATACCTCTGTAAATCAGTTTATATCACTGTAAAAGCACAGTAAAATACATAAACAAACACATTTTGGTAGCACGTGTAATCCCAATAGTGTAGTACCCATGTTGGAATTCATACATATTTAGTTCTATAATACATTCAGTTATATGGGTCACATCTTGTGTCACTATGTGTATACACACTATTCCCCTTCCTACTCATGATTATGTAACTGCAGCATTTATTTGCATAAAGCAGCTGGTTTATGAATATTTATGTATTTATGTTGTCTTTTAATGCAGTTAAACAGCAGGAAATGAAGAGTTCTGGCAATATATTACCAGTCACAGCTCTGGAGAGCTCCAGCTAATACTTTGAAGAATAGCAGCAGTCTTGGAACCAGATTTTCAGGAGAGATGTGCATGAAAATCTGAAGGTAAATTTGATTTAACATTTATTAATGTAGTGAAAAGATATATAAAAATAAAAGGAGCAGAATGTGTCATTTTAAGTAAAATTTATTAAATTTTACCTCTGTTTAACCGTCAAGCTTGTTTTGCTAAAATAGGTAACGGCATTTGTTTGTGTGTGAGTCCATATCTTCTGTGCCAACATTAACAACTGTGACTTTAGCTTGATAATAACCAGGCAAAGATTATAAAATCAGTAGTGCCAGCTGCCTGGCCTATGTACAATCAGGCTTTCATGAAAAATCTGGGGACTGGAGTTGACAGAACCAGAAAGCAGCTGTTCTCAACAGCACACTTCCGCTCAGAAACTACAGCAACTACAGCTGAGTGAGAATTAATGCTCCTTTTCACATTAGTGCACTCTTCCACTGATCCTTACAGCAGCTGTTGCTGTGCTTCCCCTAAACACTTAAGCTGGAGTTGTACTAGAACTGTAAGCAGCAACTGGCAAAACATTCAGTAGGCAAAAGTCCTGAAATCTCAGGGAACCGGACTAGGTAAATCATATGTTGTTTTTGTGATCTTTGTCCTTTCAATATCATACTTTCTGGAGCACTAGCGGGTTAGTGATGCCCAGGCAGGATAATACTTGCGTCCCATACCCCAGCTGTCTATCTTATACTTGGAGGAAGATTGTATGGAAAATTCTATAGGCCATAACTTGCCCCTGTGGAAATAAAAATTAAAGTTTGGGGGTTTCTTCCTTTTTTCTGTGCAATTATAGTTTAATGACTGGAGGTTTAATTGCAGCTCTACCACTTCCCTGCTGATCACTGTGAGGAAGCCACTTTGTCACATGCTAATACAGTTTCTACACGTGTGGTATAGGAATAATTAAACTGATTTTCTACGTGGAACACTGTGAGGTCTGTGTAGGAAGCTGGAAGGTGAAATTATTTTAAGAGCATGGGAAGACCATATTGAGAAGCAAAGTTTATATGGTTTTGACTTTAACTATTGTATCTTTTCTAGCTAGTCTGAACTATCACATGGCAGTTGTGTCAGTGACTGGGATGCCAGCCTGCGTAGCTTTTGAACATACATACTGTTAGTATAAACATAATCATTGAAATCAATTGAACAGTCTTATACTGTCATTTTGCACTTGCTTGTCAAGAAGCATGAAAAAGCAAGTTTTTTCTTTTTCAGAGATGTTTGGAAGAGTGGTGAATCCTGCATTACTTGAACTGACCTCTTCAGAGCTTTTTCTATAGACAAAACTCAGTAAACTGAAGCTCTTGATTCTAATAAATCTTCTTCATGCTCCTATAGTAAGAGGTAGCGTTAAATAATAAATGCTCAACTATTCATATTCGATTGTACTTTTAAATATGCATTTATATAAACGCCAGAGTATCCCAGAGAGAGGTGTTTTGATCTAAACCAATATTTGGAATGTTTGGGAAAACTGGAATTGTCGCAGCCCACTAGATGTCAGTGTAGCCCTACAATAGAGTACTGCAGCTCTGCTCGCTGGGCAGGTAGGATTGGGTGTCTTTTGAGCAATGGGTGAGTTGTCTTGAAACATGGAGATTGGCTATGTAAGGTCTATCATATTTTTATGTAACTCTAGAAAATAGTTTCAGGAACAGTGCTGCAACCCATTTATTCTCATTGTGAGATGTAGTTCCTACCAAACAATTTGTATGCAGCAGAAATACTTCAGGGACTAGGAAGACACTTCAGAAGCAACCAAAGGAAATATTTCTGAATGAATGAACATTTGGTGACCTAAAAACTAGTAGAAGGAACTGATATCAGTAAATAATTCTTTGATTCCTGATTCTCTTCTCCAGAATCTCTCTGCTCTAAAATGCAACAGCTATTCTGGCCTTGATATGAACTGAAATTATGACATCTATTATTGCTTGGGGAAATGCAATTTTAGATCTGAAAACACATCCAATAGTAAGGTTAATTAGAAGATGGCATTATGGAAAAGTACAGAAGCCTACAAAAATGGGAGACCTAGATAATGAAAAAGCAGTACTTGTGGAAAGTATAAATACAGGAAAGGTAGAGAAATTCCATTAAAATATTAAAAAGCTGGTGCTGTTGAAATGTAAAAGGCAAGGTTGAACAAAGGAAAAACAATGATGTTGCAGATTTAAAGACAGAGAGGAAAACTTCAGATAATTATTCAATGTTTGCATAGATTTGTTGGTGTTTGCAGGAAAACCATGTAATAGCCTAGGCTGGAAGAAATGCCAAAAGATCATCTGGTCCAACTAGAGAGCCTAGATGAGATTTCTGTGAAGTTCCAATCTTGGAAACCTCCAGTGATGAGGATTCTACCATGTCCCAATCCAGTGATTGATAGTTGTTACTGTAAAAAATTTCTTTCTTTATGAAGACAAAACTCCTAGTTCATCTTGTACGCATTGCCCCTTGTCTTCTCCATGTGGCTTCTTGTGAAGAGAGAGCCTCTGTCCTCTCTGTAGCTTAGTATTGGAGTACTGTGATGGGGTCCCCCCTGAGCCTTCTCTTCTCCAAGAAGAGACCTAACTCAGAAATTGCATTAATAGTGTCAATGTCAATGAAAATACTCATGTTTGCTAGACATGATATGTTTACTGGGTAGTACTAGACTATGAATTATAATTTGACTGTTGAATTTAACATTTTTCCCAGTTTTTGGAAGGCAGAGGTAAAAAGTACTTGGCCATCTAAGAAATATCTGAAGCATTCTTGTTTGAGCCAGTTGTTAATTTGCTAGTCAGCAACCCAAGAGTCATACAGATTACCCTTCTTCCTGTATCCCTCATACTCCTTCTCCACTAGCAGCTTTTAAATTACCTCATTATATAAAGGTTTGTTCTAGCTCCAAACTTATAGCTTTGTTTAGTTTCCACCTAGGGTGCATCTTCTGTGTGCTTATTTGCATATTCTCTGCAACTTTCATTCTGAAACTATTTATATACTGATCTGTTCTACACACTTGTAGATATGCATACTGAAGTTTGTTTTTTTTTTTAAATAAACAGCCTGGAGGTACATATTTTTGTTCTTGTCTCACAAAGCCTAACTGAAAACATGTGAAAGATACATAGGAAATTATTGCACTACTTGAAGATTTTTCTGATCTTTTTCACACTTTGCCTTACTTGATTGTTATGTGGAGAATAAAAATAAGGAAAGTATCTTATTACTTTGGCTTTTTTATTCAAGAAAAAAAAACACACTACATTGGAAAAAACTTGAAGATAACAGAAGAGTTAAGTACTTTTATTACGTAGATACAAATGATGATACACGTATTCTTTACTGTATTTCTGAGTACATGCTTTCATGTTTAACATTTAATCAGTGTACATGTACTTGAATATATGGCATGCTTTTGATAATCTACAGCTATAAGCCTCTGTTTAAAATCATGGCACTTATTTTTTGAATGTACCCCTTCCCCTACTTTGAAGCTTGTGTAGCAAAAATTATAGTAAATTCCTTCTATTTCTAAATTTTATTTTACACAAGCTTTTGCACTGCTTCAATCTCCAGACTTCCCCTTTTCTTTCGTGAAACATACAGAGTTGAACTTACAATAGTACAGACAACTGCTACACTCAGAGCTACTATTGCTGCTGTTACTGTACTGTTAGTGCTATCATTGTTGCCGTCATAATTTAAAGGCACCACTGTTACTGTACTGTTAGCACTGTCCGTGTTGCTATCATAATTTAAAGGCACAGATGCTTTTGGAGGAATGAACCATGTGGCTTGTGCTATATTAGACACCTCTGAAATCAAGTTGATATCATCAACAGCACGTATAGCAAAGTAAATTATGGTCCCATTTTGTATTACAGAATGTTCTGGTTCAATTTTAAATGATTCTTCTCTACCAGCCTCCTTTGGTAAGAGATTAGAGCAATCCACAGAAGTAGCAGAATCAAAGCGATTTCTTAGGTCCAGAAGATTTTCACTGCTTTTTATTATGTAGTGATCAGCTAGGGAAAAAAAAAATGCATGTTAAGAACAAATTAATATAGATGTTTTAATATCTCTGCTTGTGGTGACAGTATAGGACTTCTAGAGCCATTTTGTAAAAAAATGTGCTAATGATTCCTGTTTCTCTACTGACTGTATTGCTCAGCATGGATGGTTGGCAAGTTTGCTTGTAAACTTTATTTTATGGTGTCAAAGGTCTATTGTTGCTTAGTCTGGAAACTCCTTCTTTTCACTGGCCTTAAAAACATTGTTTCACCAACATTCTTAGCTTTGGGCAGAGCTGTGCAAAATGTAGCTGAATGAGAAACTGTGCTGTCCAAATACAAACATAAGGTAAAATGGTAATCTAAATATATGTGTAGACAGCGGGGGCAGGCCTTGCATCTGTTCTATATTTTCTCTCTCAGCATGAGGTTTTGATAGCAATAACTGTGAAAGGCACAAAATTATTCTCCCATTTGTAATCAAAGAATTGGTTAGGTACATTGCTGTAAGTGTGTTTGATTAATTTTGGGGTGTTTTGCTGTTATTTTTTTTTTTACTTTTTTCCTTGTGTTGCTGGTTATCAGAAATGTTAGATAAATGTAACATTTTAATCTGAAACTCTAATCTGCATAACTGTAGATTGTATATTTTAACACACAAGTCATAAAACATTTTAAGTCTCTGGCTTATGCAAGGAAATGCTTGTACATTTCATCTGGATTTTCATTTTTCCTGTACAACAACCTTAAAATGAGTATTTTTAGTAGAACATTACTGCATCTCTGTAGTCCATTTACATCCTTGAAAATAGACTAAAGCTTTGTAATGTCCATGTTGGCTGATTTTTAAATTTTTTTAAATTTTGCACAGACTTGAACTTAGACTTGTTGCTAAAGTCTCTGGTGGTTGAATTATAATTTTATTTATTTGATTTGTTTGGAATATTCCTTGGCTTACCTGGTTTGGCTTTTTTTAGCATGAAAAATTAAGAACTTAAACAGGTATCATGCAACAGAGTAACTTTCTGTTTGGTTATGATTTCAGGTGAGAAAGATGCAGCCCTCATCCCTGAGTGGTGGTCCTCAGGGTATGTCCTTTCAGACAAAAATATTAACCTAATCTCACAAAAATGTAGTGTCCCACTCACCTTTTCCATTATCTAAGTCACCTCCTGGAGCTGTCCAAGACAAGACTATTGTTTTGTTTTCTATACGAGCACGAAGGTCTGTAATTTTACAGGGTGGATAAATAGGAGCAGAATCTTCTGTTGTCTTCACTACAAGGGAACTTACTGAAATTCTGCTGAAACTTCCCAGCTTCGCTCGGATTTCTTTATCAGTAATTTCAGGTCTTGGTGCATTCATATAAATTTTACCTGTTTAAGACATTTTTCAACTTTCATCATGACAGAACTCTGAATTGCATTTTCTTTTACTATGTGTTATTGGCTCTTCTCATCCTATAAGTTTCCTTTAGTTTATTCGAATTTAGTGGAAAATTAGTGAAGACAGAAAATAAGGTGATCTCGCAGGATCGCAGCACAAAGTTTAGGAAACCCAAAAAGTAGACAGTCTGAGATGTGTAAAAGTTGGAGATGATGCAACCAGTAAAGCAGGTTGCAGATGTTTATGAGCTGTGGCTGAAATAAGGTAGTTCTATCCATCTCTTCACCCACACTGAATGTGTTAAGAGAGTTTCAGTTATATAGGCCATTTTAGCTAATTTTTTATGCTTTTTTTTTTTTCTAAATTTCACAATGTATAAGTGTGAGAATGTTAAATTGCAAGAACTAATATTTTTTTAAGCATTAAGATAAAAAAGTACTAAAAAAATCAAGGAATCTCAAAAGCTAAGTTTTCTAGTGGCATTAGTTTGTATACTAGTGCTGGAAAATGAATTTATTTACCCCAAATCCCTGTTTTAAAGTCTCAAGGATAATTACAGATTTGAAATTCCTGTTATGAGATGCTGAAATACAGATTCTGAGCAATGTTATCCTTCTCATGGCTGTAAGAGAAAATAATTTTTACATTAAAGAACATTTTATGCTATTCTCATATGCAGGAAACTGTAGTTGCAGCTGGTTTGTTTGGTTTGGGTTTTTGTAGTGAAAATGGTAGAAGGAACATCTTTTAACATAAAATGCAGTTTTTGTGAATCTAAATGAGCCCATTTGCTAAAGCATTAAACTCCCCTACATCGAATCATGCAAAGAATTGTCTGATTCATAAATGCACTTTACCGTGTTCTCTGTAGCCTGGTAAATACAATGCTCGATTTTGCCTGAGGCCAAATCTGGCTCTTTTACTCCCACGGGCATTCACTTTTACACTGTATCTTCCAGCGCCTTGTAAAGTAGTAAAGTAGCTTGAGTAAATTCCATCATTCTTTATCGTGTCAGCACCTTGGTATAGAATTGTTGAGGATTAATACTTCAAAGAAGATACCTGCTGGTAAACAAGGTTATATTTGCTGTTCATACATAAACACAGAACCTGAACATTACTATGCAGAAAAAACTGGCAGTGTTTTTGTAACGTAGACATCTTCAAAAATAGGAATGGTCCCACCATGACACTCATATGTATTTTGTTAAAAAGAACCATTTTGCATTATCACTTTAAACTCGGTATGTTGTTACTATATGAAACCACCAAGTTAATACTTATGTGCTATCTACTACATAAAGCACCTGTAAAATGTCATAGTTTAACCTTTGGCCAGGAATTCATCAACACAGGATTCCTTCTCTTTAAGCAAACTTGTGAACTTGTACCTGACTGGCAGCAGCAGATGATCTGCTCGTGGCATCCAAGCTAACTGTTTTAAAGCTTGGCAGCAATGTAAAAATAACCTTATAGGTTCAGAAAATAGAAGATGTTTTAAGAAACACAGGATAATACATTGAAAACTTATTTTTTTAAGAACAGCAATGTGAAAGCAAGGACAGAATGAGACACTGCTGGCTACTACTGAACTCATAAAGCTACAGATCTGCAGCAGTGGTGAGAGAAAAGAGGAAAGATGAAAGGAGATTGAGGGATGCTGAATTCCACAAATGTCTTGCTAGTGCTCTAAGAAGGAGGATTCTTGAAAAGAATAATGCACATATTTAACATGCAAAAGAGATAAAGCTAACATTTGTTGAGCTTTATTGTTAAGACTGTAGTCCAGCTTCATAGTATATGACATGGACTAACAGACCAGCTTATTTTCTTTTTACCATGCCTCTTGAGGGCAGATGATTACATGAAGCACACTTTCAGAAAGTAGATATGAGCAATGTACCCTCTACCATGCACAGTTCTTCTGCTTTCAGCCTCAATAACAGCACAGTAAAGAATGCAGAAAAACTTTTCAGGTAAAGGCCCACGTCTTTGTTATCCTTACCAAGAAAAAGCTTTGTAGCTTACTTCCATCCTAAAGCAGTAGGATTCTCTTTCTCACTTTTATTTTTTCTTGATTTAGGGCATAGCTATGACTCAGTCCTTAGTGATAAATCTGAGGGGAGCATGCAGACTTGGATTCTGAAATGCATAAATGTGAAGGTTTTTACTATGTATATGCAACCTTACCTGCTCCGTTATCACGAAGTTCAAGGGTTGCTGCTGCAGCACCATCCTTCTCTATGGTGGCTATCACAGTTGCACCAAGAACAGGCAAAAACCCTTGGCTAACCTCTGCATAAATAACAACTGCATTAAATGTGCTATTTGCCCTGCTAACGAGAACTGCAGCCCTCACAGGAGGAACACCCGAAGATGCTGGTCGAGAGGCAGCTGTTACTGATATACTTTGACTTGCTGTATGAACATTTTTAATACAAAACTGCCAGTCACCCACCTGCAAATAAAATACAAAAATTATGAAAAACTAAAAAACTAGTGAAAAAGCTTCATGTTCTAACAGGGTCATTGTTTCCTTTACATAATACAAAAATAATTAAAGAAAAGCTGTATGCTAGTCTGTAGGAAATGTTAATTCAGAAAATAAAAGAAAATTTTCAGTCTTTACCTCTGCAGTGCCATTTATACTGAGTCTAGATGTTGCTTGGTTTAAATTATTGATTGTAAAGTCTAAGCTTCCATATTCTCTTCCTTTGGGGTCCCTCAGGAAAAAAAAAGGCTGAGATTGACTCCATGAAATGCTGAAGAATGTGTTATTTCCCACAGTTCTGTCAACAGGCACAGTCACATTCATCCATCCAGAATGCTGAACAACTAGCTCTTTGTTTTCAATCTGGTGTTAGAGAAAGAAAATTTGTCTTATTGCTATTTAGTAAAGAAGCATTTAACATATTTTCAGTGATTCTTCATCCATTGTACAATATTGTATCCAGTCATTGCTGACTAAAAATGGATTTGTCTTGGAGGAGAGAACTTAACAGCATTTATGTCTTCGGAAACTACCATGAGAAAAAGGTCTCTGCTTACTTATTTAGAACTCAGAACAAGGTCTCTGCTTACTTATATAGAACTCAGAACAATATAGAGAAGATGGCAGGCTTTCTAGTTCTGCTGTCTCTACCTACAGGGAAATTAAGAGCCATTTGACCGAACTATTGAATGAAGAAAACTAATAAAACCCCAGATTCCCTTTATGAGATGGCTGCTTGCATAGTAACATTGATTTTAAGTGTAAAATTATCGTAAACAGAATAAATTCATAAATAATCCTTGACCAAGTCTGGGACTAGGATTTTATCTAGCCACACCTAGACTACTCTCTGAGAAGGAGTTTAGAAAGCAAGGGGGTTCTTTCTGAAACCTTGTCTCAACGGAAGGATCTTCCTGACAGTTCTGTCTGACCCTGTCCTCTCTGCAGTAAATAACCAAGTGTGCCTTGCCATCAAATCTTGTTAAAACACTGTTGCATTTATCATCAAATTTCCTTAAATCCCTGTCTTATATCAATAAATGTATTGCTGCTTCTCTCTCATTTCTCTCTCTTTCTTTCATTTTTCATCGGAAAATGCTCATATTTCAAAATTGAGCCACTGAGAATTATGATTATTAATGTCTAGATTAATTCAATTACTAGTCAAATAAAAGCTTAGGAGTAAAAAGTGTTGAAATTCAGACCTGAATAGATTGTTTAGAAATATCTCCACTCCTTGATGTAATTGCACTGAATACCATGGATAATTTACTGGGGGTGGCTCCGTCTGGAGCAAAAAGCATGAAACCTCCTGAAAGACAAGAGAAAAAGAATTAGAAATACTACTTTTTTTACTCTAAAATTGCTAAATTTTATGTGAGTTCTGGTACTGAATCTTCAAATGAGACAGCCAATTTGTTACCAAATCCAAAAAAAGAAATGCATCTTTTTATTATTGTGTTAATGCATGTGTCATTGTAAATTCTGGATTGTGCGATCAACTCATTTTATCTGTCATTGGCATAGTTTGTAAAAAAATCACTCCCTGAAGCATATAATCAAATTTTCAGATTTTTAAATTTTGAAGTTTTAGACTTTTCCTAGTACAGTTGGGTCACGTATTATCCCTTTAGGGAAGTTATGCTCTGAAAATACCTCTGTAGAAAAGACACAGTGACATTCCATGGTTTTTGATTCTTAAAATCCAGATCTTCTTTATTTCCAAATGTGAAGTTTAGATCTCTTTTCGTGCATACTTTCATGTTCAGGTAGCTCTAGTCCTTTGGAGGTTCTCATACTCAACACAGGTCTGTTAACGACTATGGTTTCATACTGCTCTACTGAATGAATACTGCAAGCAGGACTTCATACTGCTCTACTGAAGCATCTGTGCTTCATGCATTTGTGTCAATTCTTTCTCAAACTAGGAGCATACATGCCAGACATAAATTGAGCCATCACTGTGCTCCTAAGGCATAGGTCACTGGAATCCCAGAGCAGGGGAGAGACTGCTATGCCCTGGGGAGCCTACTCGGGGTGTGCCAAGGCTGCCCACAGCTTCTTTCTACCACCTTTCGCCCTCTTTTCCTTGTGCACAGGATGATATAAAGTGTGCAGGTTACATCAGGTGTATGGCTCTGTCTCATGAGAGATCATGTGGAGTTGCATGGGCTGGAGGAGGTGTTAGCTCAGAGATCTATTCAGTCTCTTTGGAAAAACGATTTTTTTTTAATCTTAAGCAGGGAAGCCTGCTGGTTGAAGAGTACATGCTGAAGGACTGCCTGTGTTCTTCTGGCTCACAAATAATTCTTAAAAAATACTCTGCATGTGAACTTAAACAAATTCTGCCTTAAAACTCAGGCCAGAACAGAATTCAACTGTGGACTCTTCCTTAGTCATGTTGATCTAATGATGTTGAAGAGTGCATAAGGGCATTCCAAGTTATTTAAATTGCTAAAACAAGTGGATTGTGCACAAGTGGATTGTGCATGTGGAAAATGCACAGCATGGGCACCTCTCAAAAAAGAATACTTATTCACTGTATTTGTTTGGATTCAGCTTGCTTTTTAGATCTACGCAAAGAGTTTTCATTCTTCCATGGCATTTGCAGGTGCTGCAGCATGAAACATCAGCCCTGCAGATAGTTTTTAAATGATTGTTTTCAAACTAATTATGTAGCTCCAGCTCAGCTGAGAGCTACGCTTGCTAATGACAAGGATAGTCAGTGTGTTTACAATTTTCTGGTCAGTGTACTTCAGCTGCAACAGTCGGAGGAAATTATTTTTTTTTATGTAATAAAAATACTTAGAATTTAAAGCATATGGAATGTTCTAATCATTGCATGTAATGCCAGAAATAAAATTCTATACATTTCTTTTTTATTTTATATAAAAATAGCATAATTAAATCTCCTTAGTGATAGGGTATTGTCATGTTATTGAATTTTTTAAATCAAGACAGCTTTTAAAGCAAATCTATGGTTCTAAAGAGTTTTGCTTGTTTGTATTAAAACAGCCATCTATGAAAACCAAATTTCTTTAACAATAAATTTGTTTTGAATTTCTTAATTTTCTTTTTTTCAGAGCTATGACTTACCATGGTTTTACATTTTCATACTTGAATATGCATGCCAGCAAAAGAGTGGACTTAGAATATTTACCTGTTAGTTTTGAAAATTCTTCTAATTCTTTGGCTGCCTCTGGCCCCAGTGCAATGGTGTGAATTTTTGCCCCACTTTGTTTCACCAAATCAAGGCAATCTGCCATATGTGAGTCCTCTCCATCTGTCAGTAACAAGATTCCTGAACCATATGTAGTAGTCATTTTATCTGCAATTAACTGCATCAAGAAAAGAACTATTTATATAAGCAGCAGAATAGTTTTTAAATACTAGTTTATCCCAGAGCAGTCAATTTATGCATTTAAAACTATGAACTTCAAGTACAAGACAAATTTATTCTTTAATAAGCATTTGAATTTTTAACACTAAAACTATTACAATATTAATTATTGCAATTGATATTGCAACATCTAATTGAGTAGAGTTAGTAAGCATTCAATATAAATAATGAGTGTTTAATATATATTTTCCTAGAGAAGGAACCTGGCCCAAACTGAAGATGTCAGAAGCATTTTGCCTGTATATGCTTTGCTGGTTCAGGGGCTAGATGTTTAAGGACATGATATTAAAAATTTATGTCCACTGTCCGGAACTACTTTTTATTCTCCAATCAAAATTTCAGGAGTAAAAAAGGACAGACTTGTGTCCAAGGATGGACTCTGAGGTAACTGAAGGTGGGGCCGAAAGAGGTAGGGCGTACCCATGGGGGAGGCCTCTGTCCTGGCTGTTCCATCCCTGTCCGGTTGTCGGGCTTCCACCCGACAGTGCCCCTATGCTGAGCCTCCTCTCTGCCCTGGACTCTCAGCTACCTCAGCAGTCCCATCCTTCTCTGTGCAATTTCTCTTTCTCTTTCTTCCCTTTCCCTACACGTTGCTCCCGATTTTCAGTTTTGCATCTGAATTAGGTGATATCTTCTGGGACTTCAGACTGCCAGGCCAAGGCAGTAAAACAGACAAATAAATAATATCTATCCATCACTGTTTCCCAATCTCATGATTTGTATGGGGTTTCACAGTTTTCATGACTAGTGAACTGTGGGACTTCACAATACTACCATTGCACAGCTTTCCACTTTAACACTTGCTTATTCTATATGTTCATTGTAATTCATGAGTCAGATCTCTGGTGTTTCCCCGGTCCACATTTTGCCAGAAAAAAATATTTGCAGGAATACAATATGATGTTCATTGATGTGTTGATCTGCAGCCTTTTCTCTGTATATACAACCAGAAATGTGACTGGGCTGTGAATTTATCCAGTCATGTGAGACTTTAGACTGCAGTACTGCATATTTCTTTTCAGTAGAAGTAATTAAAGAACTGTATTAAACTAACTTCTTAACTTTCTCTTAAGCAACTAAATAGAATCAGTTTCATATGTTTTCAACTAGAAATTTGATTTTCCAAAATTTAGGTAATTCTTTTAGTTAATTTTTGGAATTTAATCCTATTTTTCAATATCCTTTTTGAAGCATTGACATCACATCTGGCCTGTTTTCTGGTAATACTCTTTCTAATGCCATGTAATGGTAATGACTAATATACCAAATTTTCTCCTGATATATTCAAGAATTATATTGTCTTTCTTAATTCTGCCATCGCATAGGAAATCCATGTTCAGTGACCTATCAAATATGTTTTTAGCATCTTCCTCATTTTCCATACATTCCAGGAGATATTTCCACATTGTACTTTACCTCAAGTCCTTTACGTATGCCTGCACAAATATTGGTTGTTCCCTCAGCAGATGTTGGCAAATACTGAACAAGTTTTTGGCGTGCTGCATCATTGGTTATTTGTTGCAAAGGAGCTTTTTCAGATGCGTTAGAGGAAAATGTGACAATTGCAACCCAGGAAGTGATTTCAATATAACTGAGCAGAAAATCCTCTGCAGCGCTATAGAGATGTCGGATGCGGTTATGCTGCATGTGAAGAAAAACAACATCCTTAGAATGCAATCTCTTCTGAAAAGCTATGACTATGAACAAAATACAGGATTTTTGGATGTTGATCAGGTTGCAATTGGAAATTGAAAACTATCTCTCATAAGATAATTCATATCTTATTAATATACACTCAGCGGTATATGAAGCATATTCTGGCATTTGTTAAAGTGCAGCAAACTGCAGTTTACAGAAAAGATGTCACCAGGCAAAGTCCATCTTCTGATGCTAGGACTTCATTCCTAATCAAGATTTTTGTCACGTTTTGTTTTTTTTTGATAGCATAATGTCAATGCAAAAGGACAACACCTATGATGAGATGATGCCTGAGGAGCAGGCTAGCCTAGAGCCTAAGTATTTTGAAAATATAAACAATATTAAAATAAAAGTATGGCTATTTTAAATACAAGTATTCAAAGGGATTACTGAGGAAAAAAAAAGTTATATTTGAAAACATTTATCTCTAGAGCTAGCTGTTCTTGCAGTACTTATTTCATAATTATAATACTGTTGCTTTTTAGCATTCCATTATTATTTATTAACTGATTTAATAAAATGTACTATGATTGGTAGACACATGTATTATAAAAAGAATATAATTTATTACAGTTGCAGGTCTCTGCTGAAGATCAGTCTCAAGAACAGCTCTTGGCTAGAACAGCATGTCTGGAAACAGATCTGTTGATGGAGCACTATGGGAGAATCCCACAATTATTGCATATATGCCACAACTAAAGAATTGGAGCATATACTACTTCATGTTTCTTCATGTATATTTTGATTTAAGGTATGACTGTCAAATATTTAAGAATATTTCTCAACATGTTTGAGCTTTTTGAATTACCTTATTTAGATGTATAGTTTTATTTTTAGGCTTGAATTCCTGTGAGAAATGAAACACTGAACTTGCACTATTTTCAATGAGAGAATAATGGTCATTGGCTCACTACAGAACTGTGGAACAGGTAAGTTATGGATAAGAAAATGCAGTATGTCATCAAAAGAATGTATAGGCTGATTTTTAAAAGCTGTTAGAGTATGCATGGGGCTTTGAAGTCTATTCATAAATCACGAGATAGCTGCCTTACCTACCCAGATAATTTTGTCATAGTTACTTTAAATTTTAGAATCATTCATAACAAAATGTGAAACTCAATCTATGATGCGTTTTCTGCTTGGAAGAAATACAATGGCATTGTCATTCTAGGTCTGAAACAGAGGAAGGAAAGTATATAAAATTGAGATTTTACAAGCCAAAAAAAAAGACAAGTCTGGCCTACAACTCAGTATTTTTGCATGATATCATGTAGGAATTCCTAAATAAGATTACCAAGGAGAATGAGAGTAGTATTTTTTTTTTTTTTTTCTAAAATAGTCAAGTTAATTACAGAATTGACTGATTTTTTTTCTTTTGTAATTTTTTCTTATATTTTTTTGCTAAAAATTGCTTATAAAATAAGTATTCATACCACTAACATGCTTCTAGAAACATCCAGTACTAAGGCAAATGCTGTGCCTTGGGTCTGCAGTAGTGTGAAGGTAGTCTCAGAGGGAGGTGCAGGAGCATTTAGAACAGCTGAGTTGCGAAAGTCATCAGATTCCATAATTACTTCCCACGTGCTTTTGTAGTTGCATATCTTATTCTGCATATTTGGAGCCTCAATATTGTGAGTGTTTTCATCACAAAATTCAACCACCTAAAAAGTCAGATAAATAATTCTGAAGCCAACAGTATAAGCATAACAAAATATCTCAGAAAATATGACGTTTTTGGTGGGGAACAGGACAAACGGAGGTGGTGTTCTCCAGTGAATGGCTTCTATGCCATGGTACCTGGTCAGTCAGGATCTTAGAAAAGGCAAGCAAAGAAAGTGCTCCCAAAGAACATATCTTAGATTTTACATAAATAGAAGCCTGTTGTGACATGCAGAAACAAACCTTTCAGTCTATGAGTACTGAGGTCCTTGGAGTGACTGATTCATGGAAGTCCTACTAGATTTAAGCCTACTAACATAGGTAGTGTAGCTGATCAGCGTGCATAATTTAGAAGCCTGAATATTTAACCAACTTCTTGGTTTAAGCTGATGATCTTGAAGCAGTTCCTGTAAGTTTTCTTGAGTAGAATAAGGAAACATGCAAAATATACAAAGTCAGGACTTTGAGAGAACCAGGAAATAATTTTTTAGATGTCCAAGGATGTCCATGGCATACTGCTGAGGGAAGGCCATGAGGCTGAGGGGAGACCTTATTGCTCTCTCCAACTACCTGAAAGAAGGGTGTAGAGAGGTGGGTGTTGGTCTCTTTTCCCAAGTCACAGGCGATAGGACAAGAGGAAATGGCCTCAAGTTGCGCCAGGGGAGGTTCAGATTGGATATTAGGAAAATTTTTTACACTGAAAGCATTGGAATGGGCTGCCCAGGGAAGTGGTTGAGGAACCATCCTGGGAGGTATTCAAAAGACAGGTTGACATAGTGCTTAGTGACATGGTTTAGTGATGGTGGGGTTTTTGCTGTTGTTGTTTTGGTTTGGTTTTTTTAATTTATTTTTTTTCTAATCAGAGTTAGGTTGATGGTTGGACTAGATGATCTTAAAAGTCCCTTCCAACCTAAACAATTCTATGATTCTATGATTGCTGTAGGTTAACACCAGTGAGCAGATAAGCATCACACTTCCTGCCCCTCTCCAGTAGGACATAGAAGAGGAAAGCAAGAATAGAAGAAAAAAATCTTTAGAGTCAAGATAAAACAAACAAAAAAGCAAAAACCCCTTTTTAATAAGTGAAGGATAAGTGAAAAAGAGAGAAGAAACAAAAAAAGTGCAAAGACTATGAGCTATCACCTCCCATGGGTAGACCAATGCCCAGCCAGTTCCCAAGCATAAGATAACTAACCTTCCTAAAACTCCCTTTTTTCCTTTTAATGCTGAGCATGACTTTATATGGTATAGAATATCTCTTAGGTTAGTTCGGGTCATCTGCATGGTTGTGTCCTCTTCCAGCCTTCTTCGCACCCCCTGGTCTATTCACTAGGTAGGGCATGGTGAGAAACAGAGTCAGCCTTGATGCTATTCAGCTAAAGCTAGAACATTAGTGTGATATTGGTATTGTTTTGGTCAAAAATCTAAAACACAGTACCATATGATCCATTACGAAGAAAATTAGTTGTGTCCTAGCCAGGTCCAGTACACCCATAAAGTTCTTGGAAAAAGCTTGCCCAAAGAAATAAGGTCAATAGCTGGAGGAACTGTGATCCTGTACCACAGACATCTAGCCTGCAGGGAGGCTGTCTGTCCTGCTAATCCCTGTCCCAGCACACTCTGCCAGACACTGGAACAGTACAGAACAGGCATGAAGAGGCTGACCTAGTTGTCCTGGCTCCTTTCAAGAGAGGTGGGCTGCTGCTTCTGTGTTAGGGCTAGACAGACATGCCTAATTGCTCTGCAACAGAGTGTAATAGATCAGTTCAGGTACCAGTTTACATAAGGAGTGATGAAAAACTACAGGTTTTGATCTTATGGACAAGGCATTTGTCATTCTATACTTCATTTTTATGCTGTTGACCTGATTCTCCAAACATGGAGCAAGAATGCTGAGACTGAAGTACTTCTCACTCTTATTGACAGGAAACAGCTGTTAAATAATTTCCAATAGTCCTTTGTCTTCCTTTTTGAACAGATTTAAATAGAAAAAATTCTCCCCAGCAGAAATAACTGACTAGACCCCAAATGTTACTAAACTCAGTCCAGAAAGAAATAGTAATACTTACAGGACGTATGCTTTGCATCCACATAACAGAACATGAGACATTTTGTTGTATATCTGCAATAAATTCACATCCTTTTTCATATAACTGGCCATCGTATCTACAGTCTCTTGTCTCACACTTGTCTCCGCTGCACTCTTGAAAAATAGGTCTGCCAGTCACACTAGCTGGACAGCTAAGGGAAGAGAAGAGAGGCAGGACTGGTTAAGAACCCATATATAGTCTGTAACTGGTTATATATTTGAATTTTGGCTGCCCAAAGCCAAACTGCTGTTGACACAGCACTGTACTAGACACTGCACAAGTACATAGGTAGGCTGTCTCTGTGCCTCACAAGGTCCTCAAACTAACCTAGAAATAGTTAAAATCATAAAACACTTGCAGTCTTTTGCAATCTTCCTTGTGATAATTACAGACTATGCAGGAGAGATCTTGCTAGTAGTTGCAATAAAAAAGACTGTATTGGTATGCCTGAGCTGGGAAAAAAGGCAAGCCTGAACTAATACTCTACATCCATTCAGTTATTATCCCTCTTTGTAGGAGCTGTTTAAAATCACAATGGTTTCAGCAGGCATTTAGTGTCGTTGATAACTGCTCTTTAATAAAATTATATTAAATAAGTATGAAAGAAAGGGTGGCTGAAGTCTGCAGTTGCAACAGAGCACAAGGTTATCCAGCCTGGTCTCCTGTGCCTCTTAAAAAAACACACTGAAGGCAGCTGTGGTTTTCTGGGCTGCAAAGCAGGCAATAGATGTTGCTGACTAAGCATCTTTTAATCATATGAACAGGTCATGGACACTCTACAAAGTACAAACTCAGCACAGATGACGAGAGTATTGAAAACATTATTGAAATGTTTAAACCTGTGTAATGTAAATGCAGAAATATGAAAAAAAAATACCTTGTTGCTTCAACACTTGCATTTTTAGAATTTTTAGACACATAAAAAGGCACATCATTATTATATTCATCGAACACCCCCCACCGCAAATGAGCCCATTCGTGGACAAAAACTCGACCTGTTGAAAAAGAGTAGCACATGCACATTCTTAATGCAACTGTTTAAAAGCTAATTAGTGTTTTACTTAGACATTGTAACAATTTAAAATAATTCTTATCTGAGGTAATATAGGAAAATTATGAAATATATAAGCAATTGGGATAATACTTTTTCCTTGAGGTAAATCTGGGAGGGCATCAGTTTAGCAACCAGATCTGGAATTTTTATTCGTATTTGACTCTCAGAAAAGCAAGAACTGTTGTAGAGGCTTTCACTGAAGCTAGTAATAAGTCACCTTAGGAAATTCAGATTTTGTGAGGTTTCTGTCCCATAGAGCAGCAAACCTTATATTTTTGACACAGTGTAGTACAAAATTGGATACACAAACACTAGATAGTTTATTTAGTAAATGGTCATAAAAGGAAAGCTACTGCTAATGGCAGTAGTTATGTGCAAAGAAATATCCATTTAAGGTTTTCAAAGGGATGAACAACTTCTGGATCCACTGTTTGAATATTTAACTTCAGAAATTTCACAGGCATTAACTACTTCTGAAAAATATGTCTCTCAAAGTTCTTTTCATTTTAGCAAGCAAATTAAAGTACCCAAAGTACCCAAATTCATTAATCACTGGGAGAAGTCTTGGTCATTTCAATCAACAATAAAACAGGCAATAGTAATATTACCTTTTTCTCCATAAACTTTAGTCAAACTGTCATTTAACAGGAAGTTAGGTGTGAAATGGATGTATTGTCCTTTCTCCTTACATCCTCCATATCGTAAGGTATAAGGATCATCTACATGTTTCATATAATGGTCTGCTATGATGACATCTGCCTGAAAAAGTAAGGTGAGAGTTATACATAACACGGGTGTAGAGAAGAGTTAGGTGATTCTTGTTGAATAAATTCAGTCCTGCATTTTTTTTTTATCCCATGAACACTCTCAACACTTTTCAGTAAGAACTTCCAGGGTTAGTCCTAAATTTTGCTGCGATTTGTAATGTAGCCTTATCAGTCAGTATAGCTTTTCCTTGTTCTCCTAATCATAAAGAATTCTCTAAATCATACCTTATCATATGATTCTGTTTTTAATCTTGAATACTTGGTGTCTTTCTTCCACGTTTTAGGAATTATAATTTTTACAGACTTGAAGTAAAATCGATGTTCTGTCATTCCAAACAAGTAATTAGAAGCGTTTTTAATCATATTCTACAGAATGAAAGAAAATAAAATATTAATATTAATATTAACAATTTGATTGTATATGCAATTAATAATTTAGGCTTATAAAGAAACAGTATCACGGGAAAGTAGAACTAAGCACATAGCACAAAACTAAGAAATTATTACAATCTTCACTAAGAAAGGAATAAATAAAGAAGCCAAAGACTAAGCTGTAATTCTTGGAATCTCTCACCAGTTCTATAAAATTGCTCTTAATCAGAGATTATGATAAAATTCACACTCTAGCCTGCATATGAGACAAAAACTATTAAATACAAGGATTTTACCCTTAAATTAATACTGGCCTGACAGCAAGTGTGGGCAAATTTCAACACTGCACCTGCTTTTCTTTTCTCTGACTAATGTAATAATTTTTCTTTCAGATTCACCATTGTGCATTTCTTCTTATTTGTATTACAGCAACTATGGTGCCATTACTTTCCATTCCTCTTGCTCTTTTACCACCTTTCTTGGAGTGGAGGCATCAGGAAAGGTATTCCTTTTTTTTTTTTTTTTTGTCTCCACTAAGTGTTCAGTGGAAAAAAACAAAGGAGGGAACTAAAATCTGTCCCATAGGCTTTTCATAAACTAAGAAACAAGCTGTGACAGGACCTTTGGAATCAAATATCCATGTTATACATACATAAAATTCAGCTAAATGTGATTTCTTGAAGAGATTCATTTTGCCAGGAGTGATAGTGAGTGCTAACCCATGAGAAGCTGAACAGTGTGCCATTATGCCATGTGCCATTTCAGCTGTCCCCATGCCACCCCTTGCCTGCTCTGCAGGTGGAACGGAGCAATTTTAACTAGTTCAAGGGAACTGAAGGAATGTTATAAGAGCGAGTTCTTATAAGGTCAGTTATAATGTGAATTTAATATATGGTAGGTATCTCACAGTAACAGCAACTGTCACTCATACACGTCTACCCTAAAAAACACTCAGTAGTTTGTCCCTTAAAGAAAATGGAGTAATCTAAACTCTACTTATTGTTAAAGGGGACAGTCAGTGACTGATGGTAAAAAGCAAACTATCACTTTTACTTCAAGTAAACTTCACGCAAGATGAAAGAAAGCTGGAAATGTTAAAAAATCTATATCTGACATAAGGATCGTGTCCTTTGTACTTGAGATTACATGGAGCTGAATTAATACTACATAAGGGTCTAGTATGCATTAGACATACTGCAGAACCTGGGAATTTGTCAAAAGTCCCATTCAGCAGGTTTTCTCTAAAATGATTTTACTTCGTAGTCAAACAATTTCTTTGCTTTGAGATCTGGCCAGCATCTTATTCTAGGCAAATTTATCCATTGAGGCATGTGTGGATTGCAATAAAAGCTAACCCCAGAAAGGCCACTAAACCTAACCTATTTATTTCTTTTTCCTTTACAATTTTTAACAGAACATTATGAAACACACAAAAAGTAGTATAATCAATGCATATTAAAAGAGCATTCAGATTATGTTCTTTCAGGTAAACATAATTAAATGTTCTTACCATCGTGTTCAGGATGATGTTGGCATCTTCTGGCACCTGGGGATCAATTGCAACAACCAAATCCTCATAGCCGTTCTCATTTAGCCATACCATCGAACCTTTTGCCACATTCAGGAGCTGAAAAGACAGCAAAAATATCAAACACCTAGTCACCCCCATTACATGTCTCTGTCTGTGAGGATCTTGGTTAGAAAAGTGATGGCTTATCAGTCTTATTTATATGACTGCCTACAGGGCATGAGAAGACTTTGTTATTGTAAGCCAGGATAGTTTGCCTCTCCCATCCGAGTATGTAGAGTCTCGAGCCCATCTTATATTGTTACACAACCTGGGATAGTTTGCTTCTTCCCATCTGAGTACGTAGAGTCCCAGGCGTGGCTTATCTCATTGTCATAGTAACCCAAGGCTCCCCGCCATTGCACGGCTGCCAAAGTGATGGCCAGATGCTGATCTCAGCATTCGGACAACAGGATCTGCGTTACATCAGGAAGCTTCCTAATGGGCCAGACAGAACATTGCATATGTGTGACATGCTAATCAGTGCAAGTTTTATTATCCACCCCTGCGGTGCTCTCACTTGAGCTTCACTCCTGAGCAGACCTCCGCTGTGTCAGGTGCAAGTACAGTTTACTGGATATGTTGCCTGCATTTAGTTATGTGTTAATTTTAGGAGGAAATACTTGATATTTTATTGTGAACTAAAAACAGAGTTTAATTTCCTTATGCCTCTTCAGGTGATCTATGCTCTGCTGTTAATTTTAGAAGAGCAAAATAATTTCAAAAACATAATTGGAATTTCCTGGAAAAAAATCTGAACAGTGCAATAACTACATAAAACAGAATTGAAACAATAGAAAAAATAATATTAGATGGTGAGATAGTAAAATGCTGATAAGTTCTGTATACAATATTTGGTATGTAAAATCTCCCCTTTTAAATGGCATTGTTTGGCTTTAGATTAATAACCATCCCATTTGGAATAAAATGGTTTTTTCTTGAGTGGGAACAGTTTGTCGAGCAAGACAGATTACTCTGTGTGGGAAACTAACGGAAGACTGGCGAGGAGGACTGTAAATACGCTCAAGTGACTTGCATGTGGGGTGCTGGAAAACACAGCTATCACACTAATTGTTGCTTAGTTTTGTGTGCTCAACAAGTAGAACATCTGCACTTAGATAACATAGGCCTGGGATGGACTCAGGGGCACCTTATCAAACACGCCTGGGATTCTTGCCCTGCTGCTGAAGAGATCAAAGCACAGCAGAAAACTCTGCCTGCCTGAATCCTTGAAATACAGGCCCAAGCAGCAAGTGGGAGCTCCCCCGCTCCCTCACTCCCTTGCTAACGAGGACTCTCTTGCTAATAAGGACTCTCACTCCACAGTGCCTGCGTCCCCTGCTTGCCTGCCTCTGCCCGGGTGCTGCTTCAGAGGTTCCCCAATCCATGAGGTATTGACATTAAATTGTTCTTTGCCCTTAATCCGTGGTTTTGTGGTTGTTCCTGCGTCCTGCCTGCATCAGCTCACACACTCTGTGTGGCTGTCCTATCCCTCCTCATCGTTTCTCACTTCATACTTGAAGAAGCTTGGCCAGAAGTGACTTCATATTTTATTCCAATTCCTTGATAAAGTATTTAATATGATCATGCCTATCACTGATTTGCAATCCTTTGAGAAGTGTCAATTAGATGTTGGTTCCCAACCCGCTACCTTTTGAGATCTCTCAGTTAGGTAGTTCCTAATGTGTTAAGGAGGTGCTTGGTTAATCCCACATAGTACTATATTTTGAATTGGACTTGCACATAGTAATCAGCTCACAAATATCTCAGGATATAACTATATTGTTAGTTAAAGTCATAATTGCATTAAAATAATAAAAATGGAATAAATGTGGTAGTGATTGACACTGATTATATTTCCATCCTTTAATTAATTATTGATTGAATTCTGTATCAGCTTTTCTATTATTTTTGTGGAACAGATTTTCCAACAATTTTGCAGGTCATCCCCTTTACCTTTTTAAAAAGTACTATGTCTTCCTGGTGATGTTGCAGGAGTCATTCACAATCGAGAGAGTAACCTGCTGCTGCAGGTCTTAAGCAATTCTTTTAAAATTACCGTGTGAAATTTGTCCAGGCACATGCATTTAAAAGTACTTCAGGCTGAAGATTTACCTCCATCTGTTTTCCTAGTATACCAGAAAATAACTCCTGATGGTCATGGTATGAAATTATATCATCTCACTTTTTCTGAAATTCTTCTCTGTGTGGTTTGGGGTTTTTTTTCATACCAACATGAAATAATGATTGTTTTCAGTTTGTCTTAAGCAGTCACTGAAGCCTTGGAAATAGTAATGACTAATTCCTTTTTAAACACCTCCGCACTACTGGTTAGTGAAACTTTTCAATTTACCTTTGCAGCCAGCATGCTCGGGTGATGGAGGGGAAGTATTCACAAAAGCAATGTTATAAAAATTACCTCTTGGTTCCAGTCTCACTTGTTCTGATTTAATAACTTGCAGCTGAAAAGATAAATAAAAGAAGATATTGTCATGTGTGTTAGCTATCATTCAAACATTTGATCTTTCAAAATACTTTCATTTCAAAATACTTTCAAAATACTACTTAGTTAGTATCAGTTTCATTAGTAACTTCAGCTACTGGCAAAAATAAATGCAGCATGGCAGACAGATCTGCAGAAATCTTGATTACCTATACCGAGTGCTTGAATGATTAAATTTCTACAGCACAACACAGAAATGGATAGATGATAGCAGTCATCATGGACTCACACTGAAGTTTCTCAGTATTTTTGACTTCACTGAATTTGACTTTACACTAAACGAAGTAAAATTCCCATTTCTTGTCCAAATTTGATGTTTCTTTCCACTCTTTCCTTACATTCACAGAGTATATGGATCTCTTCCACGAATGGCAAACTACTACAATGTAGTAAAAGTGAGCCTTCCATCAAAATTGGAAGAAGCTCTTTCTAAAAACATATTGGCTAATTCCATTTAAAATCTTTGCAAGGGCAGAGCAAAAATAAAGCCCTGGAACCACCGCACAAAATTCCTACTGATGTTAGTGAGATTAAACTCCATTACAGATGCTGTGTTTGGTGATGTGTATCACACTGAGTTACTAGAGTAGCACATTTAAGTCATTTATAGTTGACAAAAAATTAATTAATGATGAAGAATGAGCAATAAGTCTTCAGTTTCTGCTACAAAGCACAGACAAAAAATGACCTGGCACTTGTACAGGTGTTTCTGGATAGAATAAAATACAGTTGATATAGGCTGGGAGCTCACCTAAAATGCCCACAGAAAATGTATTCATTTTGCAATTTCACCTTGTGCAGGAGGCAGGATAGCAAGCCAAAAACATACCTTGGCCTTCATCAAAATAAGTTTCTCAGACAGTCCATGATTAAATGACCTTATCATCTATTCTGGTGTCAGGATCAATAATTTTACATGGTGGAAACACATCAGCCTGAGGTCCCATTGGAACTGCAGATATTGTGAGGGAGCTTCTTGCAGCTGTACTATGGAAACCTCCTTTTCTTATCTGAGTATAATTTTTAATAGCTGATGGTCTTGATGGGTTCATCTTGATTTTACCTTAAGAATTAAAAATTGCTGATTAAATTTTAACTATATAGATAATCTATATGCATAGTATGCAGGTGACCTGAACTTCACCTCATTTATATGATTTTAAATCCCCAAAATCCATTAACCTCAAGCGAGTCCAATACTTTCTACTGCAATAGCTATTTCTTTACAGTTTCAAGAGTGCTAATTACTAAGAAAGCTGATATGAAGTTGAAGTAACTGTTACTTGCTATAAAATAATTTCAGGAGAGTTTAATTTACTAAAACTTCAACACTTTTAATTTAAGATGACTGATTATAGTACTCTAGTTATAGAAACACAGAATCATATGGGGTTGGAAGGGACCTCTGGATATCATCTAGCCCAAGCCCCCTGCCAAAGTGGGTCCACCAAGAGCAGGTTGCACAGGAATGTGTCCAGGTGGGTTTTGAATGTCTGCAGAGAAGGAGACTCCACCACCCCCCTGGGCAGCCTATTCCAGAGCTCTGCCACCTCGAAGTAAAGAAGTTCCTCCTCATGTTTAGGTGGAACTTCTTCTATTCAAGTTTGTGCCCATTTCCTCTTGTCCTATCCATGGCACCACTGAAAAAAAACCAGCCCCGTGACCACCTCTTGACACCCTCCCTGTAAGTATTTATAAGCATTGATCAGATCTCCCCTCAGCCTTCTCTTCTCTAGACTAAAAAACCCAAGTCCCTCAGCCTCTTCTCATAAGAGAGATGCTCCAGGCCCCTAATCATCTTTGTAGCCCTCTGCTGTACCCTCTCCAGCAGTTCCCTGTCCTTCTTGAACTGGGGAGCCCAGAACTGGACACAGTACTCCAAATCAGGCCTAGTTAATAAACCTACAGTTATTCTTTTCACAGACATAACACAAATCCTGTCTATCTGTATTACACAGATACTGCTCTCTTACGGCTCTTCACACTCTACTTTAAATATTCTTCTGGACAATACTGACTTTTCAGGGTTTGAAAAGTGTTGAAAACTAAACAACTCTTAGCTGGGCTGTTGTTGCTCTAATGCCGGCTCATAGGATTTATGAAGGGACTTGATGTGTACAGGTGCTGGAATACACAGCTGCACAATTTTCTCTGCATTACTTTGCTGTACTGTTTTCTGCATGACCTGGTACAGACACAACTTGACTCCATGGCATTGCAGTTTGTGGCACGATTGCTCTTTTTTCTTGGATGTGAACCTTCAGGCTGTATCTGCCATTCTCAGGGAAAGCAAACGAGTACTTGGAATAGATCCCATAATTCTTAACCATATCACAACCTAGATATAAAAATGACATAAATTAACATCAAAGAAAAATGGTTGTACTTATTTTTCTAGCTTTTCATTTATCTAGAATATAAGAATAACAGGAAAATTATTCTCTGATATCCAAACTGTGTAGCTCTTCTGTTTTTGACGCCATGTTAAAACTGTTACTGAAGACTGCAGTCTGAAGCTGATGCCTTTTTGTGCTGTGTTTTAACTCAAGGAAATGCTAATTTCTTAGCAAAAATCATCTATTATTTCATTAGAAAGCTAAAGAATATATTATTTTCAAAATCTGTACAATTTTTAATTACTTCCCATGTGCTTCTGTAGTCACACATTCGATTCTGCAGATTGAGTGCTTCTCTGTTCTGGTTGTGCTCACTATAGAATGATAAAGGAATAGAAAAAAATCAGAAGTAAACATCAAAAGAGTAACAAATAAAAACAGAGATGGAAATAAATCTTCACTGCCGATTTATGTATTTGGGACACCAGCTAATGAAAAGTTCATTTTGCATTAATAATGCATTAGAGTTTATTTTCTTACATAAAAGTTGAAATAAATGTTACATTTCAAAAAGGAGGATATAGCAAATTTTATAACAGCATGTTTCATTGAAAGAAATATGTTCTTACATTTGTACTTACAGATTATAAACTTTGCATACATATATTAATGGCGATTCTGCAGTTTGATTTTTTTCAGAAATAAATGCCCATCCTTCCTTAAAAAGCTGTGTTAGCCTATTAACAACACAATCACCTTCAATGCAGGAATTTTTTTTCAGAGAATCGATCAGTAAGATCAGAGAAACACCTATGG